ATATATTTTGTTTATATATTTAAATAAATATTTATAAATGTCAAACTTTAATGATAGAAAATGTTGATGTACACCTTATAGAGAGGCGGAAATAATATTTGGAAAGTTTTTGTAAAAATTTTGTCGATTCTTAAAAAAAAAAATAAAATAGAATTATTCTTGAATGTGGCTTGAGAATGTTCTCGAATATTTTGAAAATTAAAATAAAACAGGAAATAGAAGATTAAAAGTGTTCAAAATAAAAATTAACATTTCACTTTTTCCAATTTTGAAGTTCATACAATTAAATTTTTTCCAGATGAATCTGGCAACACCGAGAAGATCGAGTTAAACAAGTAAATTTTCTTACTTTATAATCAATCTACTTTACACATTCTCAATTTATTTATTGTTATTCTTTGATTGCGAAGTTCATTCAATCCACTTTACTCAGTTAATAAAGTATCAACAAACTGATCCCAATACAAAATTAATTTTCTAATCAGTCTCAAAAGCATCTGAGAATCTGACAGAAATTTTTCAAAAAAAACAGAAGCCGTTCCCACATATGATAATGCTCATGTCATCTTCCGAGAAATACTACCAATCACTGAGTTAATAACAACATTAACAAATAGAAAAATAATTATGAAATAATGATGATAATAATTTATTATTATCCATTTATTAGGAAAAAATTTTCATCACAACTAAAAAAGAGGACTTTAATAGGCTTGAATGAATACGCCACACCAATAGACCTATGGAAGAGGCTGTGGTTGCACGTAACATGTGGAAGGAAGTGACTATGCTAATTTATCTGAGGCTGATGATTGTGTCGGTTGGGTGCTGCATTCCATAATATGTATTTATATTTAGAAAGAGAGAGAGGAGAAAGAGAGAAGGAGAGATAAAATAGAAAAATGAGGAAAAAGAAAGTACGAACAAATGAACGTACGAGCGAACGAACGAACTAACGAATAAACATATTTGTAAGGATGTCTGTGCATGCAAACAAACAAACGTATTTGTTTGTTTTATGTGTTGTTTTATGTGCAGTTTTATGTGTTGATATGTTTGTTTGTGTGAACATTTATGATGGAGTTAGAGCAGGTAACAGTATGAAGTATCTTGTCTCGTTGTTGTTGTTGTTGTTGCTGCTGCTGTTGCGTTGCTCGTCTTGTTTAGCACGCAATCGGATAAACATATTTGTAAGGATGTCTGTGCATGCAAACAAACAAACGTATTTGTTTGTCTGAGCAGTTTTATGTGTTGATATGTTTGTTTGTGTGAACATTTATGATGAAGTTAGAGCAGGTAACAGTATGAAGTATCTTGTCTCGTTGTTGTTATTGTTGTTGCTGCTGCTGTTGCGTTGCTCGTCTTGTTTAGCACGCAATCGGATATGTCAGGCTGAATATATGTGGATGTAACTGCTTGTTGTGCGTGTGTGTGTGTAGATATTTGTGTGTTTGTGTGTGTATTTGTCTATTTGTATGTAAGCGTATGAGTGCATGTATGCATGTATGTGTGGTTTTTTATGAAGCTTTGTTGTTATGCGATTATGTTCAATTATTTGTCGGTATTCTACCTCGTTTGTCTGTATTACATTGTTTCACTTATGAGAATAATAGACGGTTATACAAGAAACCGATATATGTAACTGCTTGTTGTTCGTGTGTATGTGTAGACAAACAAACAGATAAATTGGGCATATACCCAGACATTTTTTTTAAATAAATCTTTATTTGTGAGTTAATTAAAACGAACAAAAATTTCAAACACGTACTCAGCCATCACCGTCAACACATTCACATACATATCATGTGCATAAATATAAACATTTACACATACAAACATATAAACATTCGAACACATATACACACACATACTACGAATTTTTGAAAAACGAAGCCAACACCATTGGGCTAGAGTTAAACCCCAATAAATGTGAACTCTATTTTAAAGATTCACTACATTTGCCACCGGTGTTGGCGGACGTACCCATTGTTCAAAAATCAAATTTAAGTTTTTTGGACACACATTTGTTCGAGGGCGACTCCCAAATTAAATTTTTTGATAAAAAGTTTTCAGAACTTAAGTTCGCCCTCGACCGAGTGTCTCATCTTTCCGTCCACGACGCCCTGACTATTGTCCGAAGCGCCCTCAGTTTGCCCAAAATGATGTATTTTCTTCGTACATCCAGCTACATTAACCCATCGTTGTTGGGCAGATTTGATGATGTTTTGCGTACCGCCTTGTCAGCCATTTGCAATGTTCATTTGACTGACAGTGGCTGGTCCCAGGCTCAGCTGCCGGTGTGGTATGGTGGTCTGGGGTTACTCAGTGTGGTTCAGTTGGCACCAATCGTCTATAAATCTTCTGCCGCTGCCACTCTTGACCTCCAGTCCGCCTTGCTTTACCGATTTTGTTGTTGCTGTGACATCCCACCACTGCCGACCACACCTGAAGGCCCTTCACAAGCTCAAATTTTAGATGAGCAATATAAGAAGACTTTTTATGAATTTCTGTCTTCTGGTGTCGGTGCTTCTTCCTCCGCCCGCTTATTGGCTGCAACTAGTGATGTTAGTTGTGGTTGGTTGAGGTCGTGGCCCAACACTTCCGTAGGCACCAGACTCGATGACGAGTCTGTTAGATTTGCCGTTGGTTTCAGACTTGGTCTAAGTATACAAAATAAATATCTGTGTCGTTGCGGCGCGGAGGCGGACGAATTTGGTCATCATGGTTTGGTTTGCCGTTTAGGTGGAGGCCGTCAACTTCGTCATTCAGCTTTGAATGATTACATTTGCCGGCTTTTTTCTAAAGCTTCTATTCTTGCTTTGAAGGAACCATCTGGCATTTCAGTGCAAGATGGCAAGCGACCAGACGGTTGTACTCTTACTCCCTGGAGAGTCGGTAAATGTTTGGCTTGGGATGTTACGGTTCCTGGTACCTTGGCCGAGCGCTACGTTCACCTTACCAGCAAAGAATGTGGTTTGGCTGATATCAGGGCATCGGAAAAATATTAAAAAATATGAAATATTAAATTAAAAAATATGAACACGCCCTGCCTTCCTTAGATTTTTTGCCTATATGTATCGAGGTCCTTGGACCCATAAACCCGAATACTTCAAAATTTATTAAAACATTGTGTAAAATGATTGGTGTTCGGTCAGGTGACAACAGAAAGTTCTTTTTTGCAATAAACCACATCTCGTGTTTGTTGCAGCGATTTCTGCGTGTTTGTGTGTCGGAAAATATTTACTTAAACGCCGACGTGTGAGACTAACGATACATTAAAGTGTTAACCCTTTTAATCAGATGTTTGACTGTTTGGTGCCATTCATCACGATTTGGTTTTAACATACAAACATACATCTACTAAGATACCCACACAAACGAATACACACAAACATACAAACAAATAACGCGTATACTCGCATATGCACACCCAAACGCAAATACATGTTGCAATTAATAGCAGACTTACGTGCACTATCAATCATTTATCCATCAATCTATCCATCCATCAATCATCATACTCGTCATCATTTCATCACTTTCATCATCATCCGAGTCGTCATCATTGTCATTGCACTGGTAACAATCGAGCTTATATTTATATAAATGTGTGTATGTGCATGCGTGTGTGTGTATGAAGGTGTGTCTGTATGTGTGTGTGTCTGTATGTGTGTGTGTCTGTATGTGTGTGTATGTCAATGTATTTGAATCTATGTATGTGCATGTTTCGTGTTTGTAAATATAATGAATACTTTGTTAGTACAGTTTGTCAATACAATGAAAGTTAGGTATGAGGGAAGAGGTCGACGATGCATTCCATATCATAGAAATCCAGCATCAAGATATTAAAGTCCTAACACGTGCACATCATGACTTGTGTGCTACATGGGTACGTGCTAATTCTCATTCCAAACAAATATTCCAAAATTTGTTCACTCCACTTTGATCAAACAGATTTCGTAACATGTTTTAGTGGTTGGTATGAAGGAGAATTGAACAGAACTGTAGGGGATTGCAAGTACTGTTATGGAGAGGCAGAGAAGAAAGTTAAAAGAAGATGTAGTACGATCAAAATTTCAGAATGCACCTTCATGTTGGCCAACTCCAACGCAACAACCCCGATCGACAACAACAAAATCTTCATCAGCTACTCATCATTTTTGTTTTATTTTAATTCATTTTTGTTTATTTTTTTCTTTTCCTACCTAATTTTGTTCCATATTGACGGATGTTACGAAGTGAGTTGGATTCACTGGAGGTCAGTTTTCTGGGTTGGCGGTAGATTGCGAAGGGGCCGGTACATTGTTGAACTTCATGATAAAATGATGCAAAAATTAATTAAAATAATTTTATTGCTTGTTCATTTTAAACTGACATTTAATGAAATTGATAATTTTATTCATGACATTTG